ATCCCTGCCCATCGTGGCATAAAATTTACAGAGAACTTGTCAAGCGCTAGACCTGAAACAAATTGTATAATGCCTAAGCGAAAAATAAAAGAAAAATGCCGGCCGTACATTAATAATTACATGCACTCAAAAGGCAAAAGTGTTAAAGCAAAATGAAATATTCCGATCCCCATTCCTCGAAAAAAGTTCGAAACTCTCCTTGTAATCCATCAAAAGAGGCGACAAACTTCACGCATTGTTAGGCAGCTCCAGTTAAGAAGGGGCTCTGGGAAATTAAAAGCCCGGCCAAAGTTCCAAGCCCTTTGAAAGTGTTAGGAAACAGTCCTGACAATATGGCCTATTTTTAGGTAAGATATTTAATTTTTAATATTATTATATATTTGGTTAATTATTAAGTTAACTTATGGATTTCTTAAAAAAGTATACAAATATAATAAAATGTTACATTTTTTATATACTTTTTTTAAAACCCATTTCTACATCACTTTAGTGAGAGAATTAGTGGGTGGGCTCGCAGTTCAAGGAAGTGAAGAACTGCTGCTGTAAAATAAAATAAAAAAGGGGAGCCAGCAGCTTCTTTTATTGACAATAGATGGAGGGCTAAGCAAAGATTCGCTTTGACTTGTAATTTTTAGCCATTTAGCTGGCCGGGCACGTTTTGCATTTAGCGCGTAAAATAAATTTGCACAATTTGTGACAAGAGTGCGAGCAAAAAAAAACTGGAGAAGGGGTTTTCTTTCAGAAGTGGGCGGAAAGGGGGAGGAAAACAAATTGACAACCAAAAGGTACAGTGGCTACAATAAATATATAGACAGAAATTTATTAAAGTTAATTTTATCTAAAGTTTTTTCAGGATAAAGTAATATAATGGGTTACGCCATTAAAAGTCATAAGGAATTATAGTCCATTTTTCAACTTCCTTTATTAAAGTGCTTCACTGTACAGTGTTGCCTTGTCTCTTTGTTCCAAGGAGGCGTCACAGTGGGCAGGCTGGGCCCCTGCGGGTCGGCTAATTGTCATGCCATGCGAGACTTCTCCCGGGGACCGCTACTGATTTTTCTTATTTGCGGGGCTCTGCACTCGGTCCGTCCATCAATTGACTTTATCTATTTGAACTCGCATGTTAAAAATATCAATTTGTTGTCGGGCGTGCAGCCGGCAAGTCTTTGGCAGCCCAGACTTTTGACTTTGCTCGTTTCTGACTTTCTGACAGACACTTGGACCCGCTCAACTGGCAACTTGCAACTTGCTGCAATTGGCTGATTCTCTTTCAGCCGGGTCTAGAATCGCAGCTTTGCGTTTTTGGTGTGATTTATGGCCACTCGGTGGCATAAATGTAGGTGCGGCCTGCTGCCACATAAATCATTGTTCAGCTCGGCAATGCATTTGCGCAAAATGTTCGCTTTTCTCTCCACTCTCAGGGCTTTGAGGTTGGGCTACTAAGCAGGGATAATTTTTTGGTAATTTTGACAGAAGCTCAGCTTAAATTTTGGAGGTTTACTACTATACTATTACCATAGTCATTCCTATACCATTAGTCGAATTTATGCTATAAATACTTTCATACTGGTTTCTAATAATATAATTAAAGGAATATGGATAATACTCTGACTCTTTCACAAATCCCCCACTTTGCCATCTCATAAGCCAATTCAAAAACTATATCCCATGGATACTTCATAGCCATTACCAAAATCCCGCCACCTGTTATACTTTTACCCTCATTTCCTCGTTATCCTTTGGCAAGTCACTTGACCATTTGAAATCACTTAATTTGCTAAGGAACCCTAATATTTCTGGCACTTCAGATCAATTATGAAGCCGAATGGAAGACCGACCAATCCTAGATATAAGTGTGCCACTTGTGGCGGAAAGGGCAGCCGAGTAAATTATAAGGTTAGTGAAAATCAGGGAAAGGCTAACCCCCAATGACCACTCCCACATGAATAATTCATTCAGGCAACTGAGTGGCTGCGGCTGCATTAATGAGTAACGCTTCTTATTTACCATGATGCCGCAAAAAAAAAAAATCAGAAACAAAATAGGGAAGTATACAGTGAGACATGTTTAATTAGAGAGCGAGGAAGAAGCCAAGTGAAATTGTCTTATCATAACCATTTGACGGAGGGAAAACTCTCGGATTTTTGCACAGACAATGTGGCTGGCTGGAAAATTTTGTTTAGTCATTTCGGACACATCAATCATAGTCATAGTGCCTTCAGACAGCCAAGTTAATGGCCGAGGGATTCGAATCTTGGCCATAATGTGTTGGGTGTTTTCGTGTCCTCGGACTTTCAGTTAGACAAGTGCATGATTAATTATTTTATTATCTATAAATTGGTTTTGTCCCTCCAAGCGATGATGGTGGACCTTTTTTTCCAGCTCTGTCCATCATCTACCTTTGCATACTTTGAGGCTTGTTAAAATTTTCACATAGGCTTTGAAAGGTTTTCCTTTTATTTCCCGGAAAAAAATCTGACTTTAAGTGCAGACTTTGAATTCTGTTCCATCATCATTAAGTCCACTAAAAGCCCTAAGCCCTAAAAAATCGTGCTCTTTTTTGCAATGGTCATGCTTCTGTATTTTTTGCGAGAATTTATGCCCGAACATGGCGAAGGATATGCCACTTCAATTTCAAGTACTGGACCATTTGTATCGGATTTAAGAGTTCAATATTTTTCAATTTTTTTGCTGCCAAATCGCTGAAGGGGAAAATCTGTTGCAATTCTCTCCGGCTGCCCCATTAAAATCTTTAGATTTTTTATTGTTTTCTGCTATTGGACATTTATGGCGAAATTCTGGCCAGATTCGGGTCACCAACTGTTTCGGTTTAATTAGCAAAGTTTTATGACTTTCTGGGGAGTGAGATGTAAATGTATTTGAAATACTGTGATGACAGATTTAATAGCACAATGAGGAATTAATGGTGATGTACTTTGCCTATCTCTGCATGTATATAGAATACCATTCGAGGAATTTTATAATTTTCAACGTGAGAAACTTTTAAACAAACCTTTTCATAAGCCAATTGAGAGATAGCTCATTAAAGTTCAAATCAGTTCAAAAGTTCATTTCTTGGCTCAATTTCGGGTATTATTTCCACTGTGGGGAGTCGATCTCATCCTCCAATTAGCGGTTAGGATCATAAACCCCAAACCCGGAAACTAACTCAATCATTACGCAATTAAGCAACGACCCGAGAAGAACACATTTCTACATAGATTTATAGCTATATCCATATCGACTTTGGGCACATTAAATCACGCGACCCATTAATAAAATTGTTCCAGTCTCGTCGCCTTATAATATTTTTCTTTTGTTTCTGGGGGGGAACTTCAACACAGAAGTCTCAAATATTTAATCATTGTCGCTGTTCTATCATTTTTGGGGCCTTGGGATAGAGGTCATAATTCTGTTGAAAACAATTTGTACAAGTTGATTTTATATTCCAACGGCAGCTGGATTCTGGATTCTGGACTCTGGAGTGAGGATTCGAACAGTTTTATGGCCCTGTTTTCGGTTGCCATTAAAGAGATTGTGTAAATTCTGGAAATAATTAAATGTGATATAAAAAATCATTTAGAGATCACATTTGAAATTCGTAAAGAAGTCATAAAAAACGCAGAGAGATAGAGAATTTTTAAAGCTATCAATGTAAGCAATGTTGGATAAGTGATCATTAAATATTATTCTAAAAATAAACCCCAATTAAAATACTTCCTCAACAGCTAACGATTTGAAAAACAAACAGCCTTTATCTAATGAGGTTCATTTGCATTCGACAAATTCACGCCTTAAAGCCAAATAAATCGAAGCACTTTCAGCATCGATCGAATCATTGATCGACCTACAGTTTTTCGGTTTGGTTTTATGCAAATCTCTGTGTGGGATTAAACTTAAAAAAAAATCCAATTAACACTTTTAGAACGTGCCAAAAAGTTTATTGCGCAAAACTTGATTTATGCAAGCCAAAATCTATTGGTAGCCAAAGTGTCTGAGCCAGTTTTGTGTCGAGCAAATGGAAACCCTCACGTACACGAATAAGAACACCCACGAGCCTTAAGAACTTACAAAATCAATCAACCTCAATTTAATATTTTTTTTAATACAGTGTTGGGCATTAGGAATTATGAAAAAATAAAATTTTAGAAAATAAGCTTTTAAAATGTATGTTTACAATGGCTCTTTAAATGTAGCCATAAATAAAGACACATATTTCAAACGAAATAGTAACATAAAACCAATAGCTCTATTTTAACCTATTTTAAAATTAATAAAACTAAATTATCTAATAATTTACAATAACTAAACGCACTGTATTCACTGCCATCCCTTGCAACTCTTTGCAGTTCTTCGTTCATAATAATAAATTGCTGTGATTTAATCAATTGTGGCAGGTGTTTTTATTTTTTATTCCGTTTCGGTACCATAAAAACTGGTTGGATCCGATCCCAAAAGCAACTTCGAGCCACCAGCTCTATGCTGAGCTCTTGTTTGATTTGCTCAAATTAGCGCATGCAGAGCCAAAAACCTGCTGCAACATGTGGCACGTTTCTCCAGCCAGGCAATTGAAATTGAAAACTTCGCAGCAAATTGTTGGCACTTAATTGAGTAACTCCGATCGATCTCGATGTGCTTTGTATAAATTGAATGAGGGGGTGAAAGGTGGATAGATCGCGGGAAGTGGGGCTCCAATCTCAAAAGGGGGCCTTCTGGGAGTGGGTGCGTGATATAGGTGTCATATGGACTCCAATGACAGCCGACTATGGTCGTGTCTGCATAAAAGTGCATTGTTTACGATCTGCAGGAGTCCGATTGGACGCCCAAGTAACTCACCGCAGCGATAGCCAGGTGACCGCAGTGGATTGCAACCTTATTGATTCGATTCAACAATTGAAAATTGTTGATCTTTTGTGGTTGATTTTTTGACACAATTGGGTCATAGTTCTTAAGGTCGTGCAGGTGGTGTTAAAATGAACTCTTGTCTGCACACGAGGCAATTGAATATGGTAATAATACAAAAATAATTCTTTTAAAATATTTCACTTACAACAAGTATTTCGCTTTCAAAGACTTAAAATAACAACAAGGATTAATAATGCTCACTATACTATATATCCTGCTTTGAGGATCCTTCCTAACTCTGCCGATCTTCAATCTTAACCACTACTATTAGTCCTCCAACATTCTTTCCACCGTTGAAGAATGTGATAATTGCCTTCACGATTCCTCGCGGCACTTGCTGGGGCCAGTCCTCGGTGTTGAAAAGGACATTCTTGATGTAGTAATCACCCTCAGGTATGGGGCAGGTATCCTCGTCGACTATGGGGAAGTTTGTGGTTTCTCCTTGCTTCAAGGATGGTTGCACGAACTGGACGTAGAACTTCTTGAAACACTCGCAAATACTCGTCTGGGGAACATCCATAACCATTCGCTTAAAGTCGCCATCGCCGTTGGGACTCGAGTAGAGTTCCACAGATACCTTGAAGTCGTCGTTGTTCATTTCACCCAGGAATTTAAAGGATCCATTCAGAGCTCGTTCACGACCCACAGTTTTCAGGCTATCAAAGATAACCAGGGTCTCCGAATCGCCTTCGAAGGGCTCCAGCTTTTCATTGGAGACCACGTAGGACTGCTCGCACTAAAGGAATATATTTTCATAAGGACATTCACCAATCAAAAAAACAATCCAAATACCTTTATATTTTGCAAGAGATTAAATAGAAGTATCACCACAATCCACCTCATTTTGATTTGTCAGTTGGCTTCAATGAAATCATTCTATTTATTGGATTGTTGAGGCACGCGATCGTCATGTTCTATATACGTTTAAAATGATTAACGATCTTGTTCAGTTGTTCTTCATCGACAACAATGTTGTTGCCAATCGTGATCTTCAAATTCTAACAAGATTTGTGAAGTTCAAAGCCATTGCGGCTTAATTGGTTTGATGTAATGCGATATTACTTATTCCAGAATAACAACTAAAAAAAAGTTACTGAAAATCCATGAAATGAAATATATAACTGCAACTCCTTTCCAGGTTCCATATGGGTGTTGAAAATCAAACTAAAATAATTCAATTTGTTGGAATCACCTTCCCCCGCCATATGGCATAGTCAAAATTCCACCGAAGTCCCATCAACAGATCATCAAACTTTTGGGGGAAAATCCCCACGATAATAAAGCATTAATTGAAAACATATAAACAAAAGACAGGCAGCGAAGACAAAAGATACGACATACAAAACAAACAACACACAAAAAAGTGCGCAATGCCAGAAAAACTAAACTCAGCAGGAGATATTTTACATTTTCACGGATGGATTTCCCCAGAAAGTGTGTGCCAGAGCATGGGGCGCGATAGTTTATATTTATAACAAATTCATTCAAGATCCATTGGTGAAAAGGGGCTTTATTTCAGGGGGAGGAGGCTACACAAAAAAAAACGAAAGAAAAACTAAGGGGGACACACACGCGCCCGCGCCTGCCACAAACTATAAATAGGAAAAGTCAAATGAGAGGGGATTTTCCGAAAAATGAAAACGTCACTTTAACTTGGCATTGCCCGCTTTTCAATGGGGGGGGGCCTAGCCAACCATCCCCCCAAAAAGTATATGGTTCTAATAGAAACGAATTAAAGATACCGTGTATATTAATTCATTAAAGCCCTTTTTATAGAACTTTAAAATACAAACCATGCTATACTGTATTATGTATAAGAAAGTCTCAAGACAAAAAGGATTTAGGTAAATTTTTTGAACCTTTTTTTATATAAGTATACGTGTACCCTAATAAATTGTTATCCATAAAAGGAAACCATCTGCGCGCCGCAAACAATTTGAGGCATTTTCCAAGTAATATGCAACACATGTTCTATGGCTCGTGGGGGAAGGCATGCTCCTGCGCCTGCGCCCCGTAGCACAAGCAGGAAAGTGAAAAGTGCCACAGAGCCGACAGTTTTCCCTTTTTTCAAATGGAGCAGCACACGAATGTACCGCCAAGTGACAGTTTTCTGTCCGCAGTCAGGCATGACATTAGATGCTTCTTTGACTTGGATCAGCACCCCTAAGAACCCCATTGGGGCCCCAGGATCAGGGCAAGTCAGAGATTCCATATATCTTTTTGGACTGCCAGCATTGTCAATCAAAAATATTAGAAAGAGCTTTATGATGTCTACATTTTGGGGGATATATTTTTTTAAAACCTATTCAGCAAAAACCAATAATAAATAACATAACATCCATCTAAACCAAAAGCATGACGAAATATCAAATACAAAGAGTTAAGAAACCATTAAACGGACTACAAAGTCTGCAAACTCCGAGCTTTTTTATTCCAGATTAATGATCGGTCTGACGGTGTTTTCGAGTTCGCCAAGTGGTCGAGCAGGTGACAGGCATTAGTATTAGCATAAATCGCTGAACTCGAAGCGAGCAGGGCAGACAGGTAAGTCAACAATTAATGAACACCTACACGACGATGGGATCTGGACCTGGCCAACCATCGATCGACTTACCAGTATAAATCAAACTTTTAATTATAGTGTAATTAATGTAACGTATTTCAATTAATTAAATGCAACTTGATTGGCGTTGCTGGCCAAAGGCAGTTCAGCTAAAAACCAACTATCAAACAACGCCTAGGCCCAGACCAAGACTGAAATCAAGAAAATCAATGGTCAAAAAACAACCAAAACGAAAACATTGCGAAACCTGAAATTTTGCGCGCCAAAAAATCAGCGAGGAAAATGCAATATCAAAACAACCCAGCGACAAAAACAAGAAGTTTATTTTTCTAATGTTTTTGGTTAACAATTTAATACTCTTAAAATATGATAAAAGTTGAAAGGATGCAAGAAAATATTGGAAGTAGTTGTCGTTAATATCACTAGCTTTACCACTTTATAGAACAAGCTTTATGCCTTGGCCTAAATAATCATTTTAAAATTCTAATTCCAAAGCCATAGTTATCTATTCTTTAATAACCATTTGGTATTCCACTAAGTACTCCCCATGGACAGGGTATCTCAAACAGCTGGCCCCAACCAATGTTGGCCAAAGCAGGTGATAAGGCGGCAGCAGCAGCCACTCGAACCACATCAAACGTCGTCATAAACCAGCTGCAACAGCGGCAACATTGCAGTCGGCGGAGAGGGGGGCGGCTTAACGGCGGGGGGCGTGGCGTGGGCGATGGAAAACTCAATTGCGTCGTTGCGAAAATTAACTGCAATATGCAGAGAGCCCGCAGAGGCCGAGAGCCACTTGTGGCACAAATGTTAAAGGCTCGCCACAAGGCCCGGTCGGGCTTTTTTTCGCCTTTGGTTACACAGTAAGAAATAGTTCAAATTTAATTAGCTAATTTTAAGGTACCAAATGCGTTTTGTTACCTTTACTTCATAAAGATACAGGACGTATGTATGAGTAATATTTATGAAAGCTTTATGGCAACAGTGCGTATGAGCAATATTTTTCTGAAAATAATTTTGGCAACACGGCGTATGAGTAATTTTGTTTAGAAGGCTTTTGGAATACAGGATGTATGATCTTTTTTCAGAATAAACTACTTAATACTACGCATGGGTGATATTACTTAGAAGAAACTGAAAACGAAATACCTATTTTTCTAAATTTTAGCAAATTTTTCTATTTCTTTCAGTGTCTTTGCAACTTTGGCTTCCTACGTTGTGCTGGCCAAGTTAAGAAGGCGTCGTGGCTTCCGTGGCAGGTTACAACAAATTTTGTTGTTGGCTTGGCCTAATGCGAAAGTTGTTGCCCTTGTGTTGGTGTGTGTGTTCGTGCCACAAGTGGCAGTGCCAAACAACACTGTCCTTCAAAATTAAATTTTAATGTTGGAGAATATACATTTCTTTAAAAGTTATAATGTTAAATAACAAATTTTATGTTTAAAATAAATATTTATTTTAAAAATTTAAATGCAAAATAATATGTTTTATATCCTTATATCTTGTTGCATAGTGTTGTTTGCCAACCACGTCACGCGTCAAACTTTGTACGTGTTGTTTCGTTTGTTGGTCAAGTGACCAACAATAACAACAACAACTGAGGCTACAAAAAAAGCAACAAAAACAACGACAACATTGACAATAACAAATGCAACACGCGCTTAATTTTTATTAGACCTCATGTGGTGCGCATGCGCAGCACCGAATAACCGTTGCACATGAGCATACGGATACAAATGTATCTGAGTATCTGTATCTCGACGCTCGTATGTGCGCGTAGATATATTTTTTGGGGCCAGCAATTGGCATAATTGACTGGCCGCTCGTCGGTCGTCTGGGTTGCTACGTGAGGTGGGAGATCTTTTTGGTTAACATGTTGTGGTGCCCCACCTCGCCCAAATCCACCGGCAGGCCAATTGATTTATGTTCATCATTAATAACAATCACAAGCGAGTTACCAGACAAATGCGAAGCAAGGTATTTGAGTGACAAGGAGGTTGAACCTTGAATAACACCCACTATGGATTAGGGTCTACTTGGGAAAGGGTCTTTAAACCTATATCAATAATATAAAGTATCATACTATATACTTAGCTTTGAATAAACTTCCTGAAACCAGAATCAATTGTAAACATTTTTATTGCACATTTGCCTCATCATTTAATTATTACGATCCCTTCAATTAAGAGCCAATTAACAGAATGTATTCTCTTAAATATTATTTACTAAGGAATCAATAACAACCTGCAAGTCATAAGTGTAAGACATGAAAGAATTAAAAAAAAAAAAATAAATAAATATAGAATGTGTATAATTCAAATAGACAGATTTTAGTTTCTTGGTAACTTTAATTTTCTCTCATTTTCTTTATGTTTATAAAATCGTTTTAATATCATTGTCTCACTGCGTGTTTCGCAATTATCCGCAATAAATTGGTTTATGTCGGCAGCTTCACATATCAACCCATACAGATTTTATGGCCCTCACCGTCTATATTTAGATATCGGCACAATGAAGAGCCATGCCACAGAAAAAAACAGAGTCCAACCCGGACTAATTGCCATGTCCACAAAGCTGCTGCTTATCCTTGATCATCAATGGTTCATTAACTCCGCCAGAAGTGCTGTAAAGCAAAGAAAAAACTCATAATGCTGTGGAGCGTATTTAATACAATTAACTGGCTACGTTATGAGATTAACCCCATCGCAACGGGGGAATCGTAGAAGAGCCAAGATCAGGCTCCTGCCCAGATTAACAATCAATTAAAATTGACAAGTGGTCAGCAAGTTCTGCACTGGATGGATGGACAAAAGAAAATGCCCCGACCGGACAGCAGGAGACCCATGGAGTAAAGGGTGAGGAAAATAATTACGATGGCTGCATAAAAGGCGCCATTTAGCTCCGGCTAACGACACGCAATAATTACGCCCAATTAATCGCAATAACTTTTGCAAATTAGATAATTTCGGTTCACGTCCCAGCGTCCCGGAGAACGCTTGGCCAGCTGCCTGGGGCCGCATTAAATGTAATTCTTTTCTTGCAACAAATTCTTTGCAAGAGGGAGTTTCAAACGCCACAAGACTTTCAAATGTGTGTAATCAGGCAGAACTGCACTTGTCGCTCTTCCATAGGAAGATGTATCTACTCCGGCCCCCAGGGCAGACCCAGAAACGCCC